GGGAATCTGTACGTCGATGGCTACTTGCATGGCTAATTGGGTCTTGCCCGCGCCGGGCACCCCCACCACCTCGGAGAGCTGTCCTCGAGCCAGGCCGCCCCCGAGCACGGTGTCGATCGCCCGACAGAAGGTGATGATTTTGGAGCCGACGCTCATGCCGGGGGCCCGCGTGCTTTGGTAGAGGGCGAAAGCGGAGGTGGGAAGTGGAAGAGGAGAGGAGGTGGTGGTGGTGGTGGTGGTGGTGGTGGAGGAGGAGGAGGGCCTGCCAGCAGCGCAACCTCTGTTGAGAACGTCCCGGACCCGGTCCATGTCCGCGGATGTGGGTGTAAAGTCTGCGATGGAAACGCAGAGACCAGAAATGAAGCGACACAGGCGTCAAGGAAGTCAAACGTCAGGGGAGGGATAGGCCAAGCGAGGCTCAGACCGGGGCAGATAACCGGTAAAAGCAAAGAGGCGCGGCAGACAACGCGAGAGAGCACAAGCCAACAAGCTAAGTAGGAGCCGGGAGGGAGAAGCTAACAGGGTGTGGATTCTTGGATGTTCAAAACCAAAGGTGTCGCGTACCTGGGGTGGCGAGGTCCACTGCCGTCAAAGGTGGGCAAGAGGAAGCATTTCCAGGTTCCAAGGCCTCCCGAAGTTCTCCTGCCTTGCGGTACCCTTTCCGACGCAAGACGCCTGGCAGGCCATGAAGGACAAGGAGGGGTTCGCGTGAAAAAAGAAAGAAAGAGTGAGTTGGCCTTCTGGTGGAGAGTTTACCTCCCTACCTTGCATTTCAGGCCAAGGCAGGTCGTAGGTAAAAAGTGGGCGACGCTTTCCCAAAGGCATGCCCCTAGTTTGTTGCTTTGTCGGGGAATTGAAACGTGAATGTGGCGTTCCGGTGCGTTGAAGCCGGGTAAGTTGGATCGTAAACCATCGAGGGGGGAGGGTAATCAGAAGGAAAGGAACATGCCAGCGACTTGCCAGCGATTCGACGACTGAAGAAGCCAGAACAGGAAGAGTATACATTCATCCCCCTCACACCTTGTGATGTTATCGAGGCATTTTTCCACACACGATACGCAGGGCAGCGTGAAAATGGCACAGGTGCCAGCAACGAGTCCATCACCCGATGGCCCCTCCCCCCCTTCCTCCCCTTCCTTTGTGTCCAGGCTGACCGCCTCCATCGAGGCCGCTCCCTGTTTCCGAGTCCCATTAATGTGGGGTATAGCCTGTGGCATTGCCGCAGGCCTGCATAAGTTCAGAGTCCATCGGGCCTCTCCACGTAGGTTACATTTGTCCAAGGGAAGCGACCTGGTTGCATGTGAGGGGTTGTGTGCATGGGGCGTCCCGATGTTTGCTGTCCTCAGGAGGTTGTCTTGTGTCACCCATCCCCACATTCCCTCCCCGCTTGTTTCATGCGATGACTGTGCCTGATGGCTGGTCTTGTCCTCGTGTGCCAAAAGCCATTCGACGGGCTTGGCGGGGGGCTTTTCCTCCCAAGAGAGGCCAGGGCCTGCCGGATGGGTGCCCTTGCCTTTGTTTACCGATTCTTTTTTAAAGCCGGGACTCATGGCCCCATCTGTTTTTTTTTATTACAGAGGCGGTCTTAAATGCCTGTGACTTCGCTGTCCTCGGCATGGGCATCTCTACGTCGTTGGGATGGTGGGTGTGCATGCGCCGGCAGCGAAAGGAGGAGGAGGAATTAAAGTTGATTATGGCCGCACAAGGCTTCAAGCCCATGGCTGAACTTGAGGAAAAGGCAGAAAGAAAATAACGGGTGGTCACTCCTAGCGCCTCGCTAAGTTGTGGAAAGCGCGTACACGTCGAAAGGAAAGAGAGACCGGGCCGATCCTTGTCATGAGGGAGGCCGTGGCGAAGGGAGGCTGGCTACCCGTTAAAGTGGGAGCCCACCACATCCGATCGCATTCCTCCGATGCAGGAGCGAACATCGAAAGGCTCTTCGCCCAACAGGGCTGCCACGGCGGCGCCCTATAGAACCCGACGTTGTGGACCAGACGGGCCCGTCTCTGCGGAGAAACGAGCGGATCGGATCGAGGCCATGGACAGGGAGGAAGGGCGCATGGAGCGTCGGGAGGGGAGGAGGGAAACGGCAGCTGCAGTTGGGCGAAAGTTCGAGAGAAATGGATGCGTGACTGCTGCGAACAGGTGCTTGTGTGCCGGAATGCCCGCATCTAAACACTGCACATAGGAATAAAGAGAATAGGAGTTCAATATTTTTTTTCTACATTGAAATAAATGAAAAATTACTTCTTTACACGCATGCCTGTTCAGTGGGCTTGCTCCACCTATTTGCATCTTCTATGTACCCTATCTCCCCCTCGACACACACCCTCGCCTCGAGGCGTCGCCATCCCCTCCACCCCCATCATCCCTCCTCCACTCCCATCACCCTTCCTTGTCCCTCCCCGCGGATTCCTGGTCCCCTCCCTCCCTCACTCGTTTCGCTTGCACCTCCCCTCCTACCTTCCCTCTTCATCACCATCCTCTTAAGATACATGTGCAAGTGTGCAAGACGAGCACGGACCCATTCAACCCCTGAGGAGGGCGTCCCACGGCCCCCTTCCTTCCCTCCCTCCCTCCCTCCCTCCCTCGCCCTCATAAGCCCTCCCACGAGCCCGGCAGGCGCCTCGTCGCGCCCGCCCCGGTCAATGGGGTCTCGCTCTCGTGCCAGATGGCGAAGGAGATGAATATGTAGCACGTGATGAGGAGGGAGCCGTGGATCCAGTTGCTGCTCC